CAACTTTTTTCAAACCAAATTTCGACCTCGAGTTCGCCTATCTTGTGTCTAACAATTATCTACATGAGCATCAACCATGCTTTCACCCTTGAACTAGAACTTCGTTTAAAGTTCTATTCATCTTCCTCTTGTTTTAACTGGATTTTGAAGTCCTATAAAAATCCCAGCTAACAACAGCGCTACCAAAGAGTTTGGTGCCCATGTTATCGTAGTTCGATCGTGTTGGTTAGGGTAGGTGTGAGAGGGGTGTTTGGTTGAATTGGGATGTTGAATCATTTTGGAAACGAAGCAATGATTCTTGTCGTGTTTGAAAGACATATGTTGGTTGAGTGCTCTGGCAGTGTAATGTTTGACTGTACAAGGGTTGAGTGTTATGGTGGGATGTGGTGGTATCATATGTATTATCAGTGTTGTGGTAAGATATGGTGGCAACATATGGTTGGTGACAGTATGGGTCATGCTCTTAGTTTTGTGTTTGGGTGTGTGGAATGAATATTTTGCAGGTTTGGGAAGATGTGGTTTTGTAAGGTTGTTGTGTTTGAATGAGGTGACAATTTTGTTGGGATCGGTAATGTTGTGGGGTTGGTTGTTGGGCGTATGATGTCAAAGCTTGTTGGGGTGGGTCGATCAAATATATTGGGGGAAACATAAACAAATTTGGAGAAACTGATGTATACCAGCTCATATAATGCAAAGTTGGTCTAACATCATCATGCATGATTGGTTCGTTTATGACCAGTTCACACCGGTGCCTCCAGTGACGACATACATCCCTAGCGAAGTCTTTCAAATTAATAAATCTCCATTGGTCATCGACTCTTAATTGATGTCATTCTCCTAAACACATTGAGGGACCTGGGATACCTTGCTACACGCCGAGCTGCAGTTTCACACGGTCACTCTGGTGCATCTCCACAGTAGTGAACCTGATGATTGTTGTTTTTGCAGTCCAAACAGAAACATCAGCGGGGATAATCTCATGGTTGAGACATACTGTAGAGGAAAAATAAATTAATCTCATGGTAATATTAAACTAAATTAATGAGATGTGTAGTTGCAATGCCTCGTTAGATCCAATATGATCCAAAAGATTTTCGATAGACTACTATAACGTTTCTAGGAGTTTTGTTGTAGTTCATCTTTAGAACAGACAACTTATATCGAAAATAGTGAAAATAAATTAATTACCGTTGTTTATAGTATAAATTAAGTAAATTGAATAATGATATAAACCTATTGTGTCGCATAGAAGAATGTGAAGGGCTTCTTGTTGACGGAGACGAGTGTCGGCATTCTCGATCAACTCCATGTTTGGAGCAAAAAAGCGTAAAAATAAAATGAAAAAGTATTATTCTATGCGTTTTTACACAAATAACTATATAGATGGGACAAAACTGCTGAACCCCAACTATATGTGCTTATTTTATCTAAATCTCTTAACAAAGGTAAATGCATAATGTTTACAGTATTACCAGTTCTTCAAGAAATAAAAAGTGACCAAATAATATCATAATATAACACCGAATTTTCATTATTCTTTCTTGTTCGATAGATTTTTCGGTTAATATTATATATGAATAATGATGTTTAAGGTACTTGAGATTAATACCCTGGCCCCTTGACGTTTCTTAAAATAAAGGGGCATTCAAAAGTTCCTCGCATATTATGTTGTCTTGGTTAACTCAACAATTAACAATCGTATCATTGATAGGTAGACCCAATAACATGTACACGTCATATAGGGTGACTGTATATTCACCACATAGAAGATGAAACATGTGTGTTTCGGGCTCCATATTTCCACTAAGGTGAGAATAAGTTTATAATCAATATATCATCATGTTCACATGCTCGCCTGGACTTTAGAGGACATCTATCCCCCGTTTACAAAGTCAGAAACGTATTAAATGTGTATATCAATAGCTTCTCGGTGGTAGCAAAAGAGGATTATTTGCCTACTTATCAAGAGAACATTATTTGACACAATGAGCATATGCAAAGGAAAAAAGGTTGCCCTAACAACACGCGTATTTGAACCGAAATGGACACGACAAACAAAATGATAATATTATACAGTACACGCCGTGTCCGTCAACCCAGACAAAATCGAAAAAATTGTCTGAATATTGGGTCTAGCTCTACAACATAATTTTTATATGCCACTCTTGATATGTAATTTATTTGTTGTAACCATGGAATTTCATTTTAAATTCAACTTTCATTTCATATTTAAGACAACATCCAGGTACAACAAAATAAAGACAACCACACATAAAACAACAACACAATAAATAAATAAAACGACTAAACACATCAACATATCAAGGAGATTACCACCATCAAGACAATATCAATTGATCAATGCATTATCATAATGACATCATTGTTGGTTTTAATAGGATTCTAGAAATGAGTTTTTCCATTTTGGTTGAACACCATAACAAGCCTATCAATTCTTCTAATTTGTTCACTATCAGAAATATCTTCGTCTCACTAACAGATCAGGCTTCTCTAAAAAAGCTTGAAGTTCTCTGTGTTCCAAAGTCGAATCTTCATCGAATGCTTTGTTAACGAAAAACTTGAATTTTTTTTTTATAATTGAAAATATTTGAAGCATTCTTGAAGACATTTAAGAGGGAAGTGAAAAGATACCCAATAAATAATAAAGATGGATGATATATTTATAAAAAATAAAATAAAACAACAAATGAGCCACACTATATGTCGTATGTACTTAATGCTATAATGCATGTGTCATAAAGTGTAAAGTCTCTTTGTTAATTAGAGAGCATACGTCATCCAGTGTGATGTATTCTGATAATTTTTTTAAATAGTTACTTTGATATTTGAAAATGTGAATATTTAAAAAAATTAAAAAAAAATATTTAAAGAAAAATCATGTATCGAAATTTTTCAAAAGAAAAAGTCAAGATTAATTGTTTTCCATAGTTTGTTTTACTCATTTATTTTTCAAAGTTAAATAAATAACATCCGGTAAAAATAATAAATAATCTTAACATGCATTGGCTTTCCTAGTTTCCTTCCTCGAAAAGCGAAAAGGAAAGGAATATCCGCATATATAGAAAAATATCCAAATGGCGAATCTACATTGGTTGCTTAAAACACTTAACAAACACATTCCAAGTCGGTATCTACTTTAAATTTTTCTCCCTTCCTCTTTCTTATTTTATTAATTAAATAAATTAAAAATAAATCAATAATAAAAATAAAAATTAGAGCTTAGGTTCCTAATTTCTCCTATAAATACACCCGAAAATCACAGCCCAGAGTTTTCAAGCTCCAACCTTCCAGCGCCGAAAGAACACACTTCTTCACTTCTCTCTCGCTTCTCTCTCTTTCTAGAATATTCCAAAGTGACAAAAGCGAATCATGGAATCTAAACCCGTAAACCTTAAGCTTCTCTGTAGCTACGGTGGCAAGATCCTCCCTCGATCCACCGATGGTGAACTCCGTTACGTCGGCGGTCACACCAGAGTTCTCGCCGTCGATCGTTCAATTTCGTTTTCAGGTTCGTCTCTAAATATTCTTTTCACTCTCAAATTTCACTCGTTTTGTTCCGTTCTTCGTATTTATCGATTATTTCCATTGTTTTTCAGAATTGATGGAGAAGCTTCGAGAATTTTGTGGCTCATCTGTGAAATTAAGGTGTCAATTACCAAAAGGCGACTTAGAAACGTTGATCTCCATCACAAACGACGAAGATTTGGCTCAAATAATCGACGAATACGATCGTGCCTCGTTGAAATTACCTCACCCGTTGAAGATCAGAGCTGTTCTTTCGCCACCAAAATCGGTCTTGAAAGTTTCTCCCGATCCGTCGTCTTTGTCGTCAAGTGCTAGTCGTTCTCCGTACAGATCACCTTATACTTCATCTGAATCTCCACCGTACGCGGCGGCGTATAGAATCGGACGTTACAGTCGCTCGCCGCGGGCGCCGGTAGGGTACTCGTTCGGCGCCAGGAATGGATCGGCGAAAGCTTATTGCTATACCGGCCAGTTCGAGAGAGGCCCAAGGCCCTTGTATTATGGGCCTCGTTACAATAATTACTGCCATTAAGGATTTTATTGATAAATATATTAATTACAGTAAATACTTGAATAAAAAAAAATTCAACGAAGGATCTAGACCAAAACTTTAAATTTTTTTGAGAGAAGTGAAATATGAGATTTTTGTTCATATAAATTTTGAGATGTTGTTGAGGTTCTAGTTTTGATTTGAGCCTTAATTTTTTTTGGTGGTTGATTTGGACTTTTTTTTTCCAAAGTTGGGGATCCGTTAACCACCGATTGATTCGTAACAGTTTTTGCGACGTGTCATGTGTGTGTACCGCCTTTGATGGTATTGATTCCGTCTACCAAAACTCCGTCATCCTTGCGTTCAATTCATAGGTCACGTGACTTATTTATGTTATAAGATTATTATTAATTGAATTAGTAGCTCCCATTTAATTTGTTGGTCAGTTTTTAAATTCAAGATTCTTTTTTGTTTTGACTAAGATTATTCTTTTTTTTTTTTTTAAATCAAGATTATTCTTTTTTTTTTTAACTCAAGATTATTCCTTTTTTTTTTCTTTTGTTGAAAAATTTTGTTATTCTTTTTTATTTGTATTATTGTTGAACTAATCCTTATATGCGTGATCTATTTTTTTGTTTTGTTTTTGTTTTCTTTCAATTTGCAGGTCAATAATTGGAGGATTGAAACACGGTGCCATAAGTTGTGGGATTGGGAAGAGGACAAAATGTTTGAGTCTTCTTTAGATTGGAAGGGACCAACTTATCTAACAGATGCTGGCGTGGTGCATTAAAGAACTTGAATAAAAATATATAAAAGAAAAAAGAGGGACTTTAATATATTTTTTGAAAGGTACAAAACATATTAATGTGAACACAAGATAAGATGGAGTACTAGAATACGACTCTATCAAAAAATAAAAGTGGACGAGAATACACTTAAGTAAGAATTTAGTAGGAATGTGGATATGGAAGTTAAAGTCATTAAAGCAGACAAATGTCATATCAATATTAGTAAGGAGAGATTAGGAGAAGTAGTAGGACCTGTTCAAGTTTATATAGGCTATGTGGGGGAAAAATATAATTTTATAAGTATTTGTTGGGAAAGTGATTTCAAACACAATACATACAAATTTATTTTGATTAAACCTAAAATTATTAAGATCATAAGAGCATCCATATCTATTATATTCATTTGGATTCTTTAAATAGGATCTACATAATTTTTTATATTATTTTACATTTTTTAATTTTTTAAACAACTCATCTACAATTCTCAAATATCAATTTAACTCATCAAAAAATCTAAAACGGGTCCCACTACACTCCACAAAATTCACTCATATAACTATTTTCAACTGAAATATAATATTTTAATATTACTTATATAGAAAGAGAGTGTAGAAGCGTTCCCACATAAACCAACACTTGCAAATGAAAGAACGCTTTTTTCTCTCAAATACCCATTTTATTCTGACATCATAACTTAAAAAATTGTGTAGAAACGGCATACATGCACCGATAATCATGCTCTAAGGAGAGTATTTTGAGATTTCATTATAACCAAAGTGTTTAACACAAGTTTAGAAGACCACCTGATATTAAGTCTGGTAAGCATTCTTTTGACTATCATCCGATCATTATTAGAGTTTTAAAAAACGGTTTGTGACTGCAAAACGGCCATGACAAAACGGTTTTAGAAGATGCCGATATCGATATTACCGTTTTCTATATTGAAGAATAAATTATGGTTAATTTACACTACGATGACTGCAATACACTTGTACCGATCAAAATCGCTAAAACTTTTACACAACTGTGACGCGACTGCAATGCGATCACGACTGTTTTTTAAAACCTTGGCTAGGAGCATATCATTCATAATAGTGATTATTCCTTTAAATTCTTTAAAACATAGACTGTCAGAAGAGGAGTGTGGTATAATTATTGTTTTTAATTGGCAACTTCCAGTAGAAGGGAATCCAATGAGAAGATTAATAGGTTGTAGAGCGTCATGAGACATTGGAGTAGAACAAAGTATTACAATGTGGATCAATGGGTAAACTTGCTATAGAGGAAGCCTGGCTTGTTCAAGTTCTATTGGATAATTCAGAGTTTGATGTGAATCCTTGGGACTAAAATATTCAGACCTAAATCAACTCGAAAAGGAGTTTGAATATTCAAAGTAGTTTTTGGACAGGAAAGGTCGGGATCATAAACTTTACGGATGGGGAAAGGAATATAACTTATTTTAATCAAATATCTAATATTAAGTTCCTCAGCGAGAAAATCAAACAAATAAGAGAGAATGATGTGGTTATTACGCATAAAATACAAATTGAGCAACATATTCTCAACTGTTTTGTTTTAGTTTTTGGGACACAAAATAATTATTCCTAGATAGGCATTATTCGAGATTATATTTTTAAGCAGGTTACTAACGAGGATAATGAGGCTCTTTGAGGGATTTTGCTTTCTAGAGAGATTTGGGATACATTTTTTGATATGAAGGCAGCAGGAACTCCGGGTCCAGATGGGTTCGGGGGATACTTTTACTAAGTTTATTGGGATGTTTTTTCATCCATGGGAAAACTGAGAACTCCCTTAATTCTTATCTTATTGTCTTAATCCAGAAAGTGAAGAGGGATGATAAATTGAAAGATTTTAGATCCATTACACTAGCCAATTTTTTGTTCAAAATCATCACCAAAGTCTTAACGAAGAGATTGGTGGAAATTGCTTCAAAAATCAACTCTACCTACCAAAGAGAGATCATCCCAAGTAGGCACATTGAGGAGTGTGTTAACTCGGCTTTAGAGACGATGAATGTATAGGATAAGAACAATTGGGGCATGTTAATGTTCTATTTTATGATTGGCATTAATTTTAGTAAAACAAATTAGGCAACAACTTAGGATGTTCTAACTTGCAGAGAAACATGTCGAACAAAGATGTCCTATGCAGAATCATTCGACATCGTGACTATGATCAGCTGGATAGTTGGATTAGTTTCATTTGATACAAATGTAGGATATTTTGGGAATATTATTCTATATCATTGTTTCTCCGTGAAACAATCACTAGCCTCTTATTAAAGCTTACTTGCAGGATCGACTACAATAATCATAGACTTAGTGTTTTGAGTGTTTTTGGGTTGAGAAATGGTTTATGAAAGATAAAAGGGAAAAAGATAAAGACAATTACAAAGTAGAGAAATTAAAGACAAGACTTGTAATTTCAAAGTAAAAACTAAAAATTGCTATGAATTTAAAGGTGGAAGCATTCATACTTTGTTAAGCTCGAAACTCGTTTCTCTCTTAGATGCAGGTACTTTGAGTGTAATGCTCTAAATATGAAGAAATGCAACCTCTAACACAACCATAAACATTTTCTTAAATAGAAATCCCAAGTAATGTAATTGTCGACGGTTACTAGCTCACACTGGGCTTCGTGGAAAACTGCTTTAAATATTCCCACGTTCTCACTGACCTGCACGTTGATAATCGTTCCCGCCATTATGAAGGCTTGCTCCGTCGACCTCTGTTCCTGTCGATAGCTGCCTCTAAACCTCATGTCCTCGTCGACTAGCTCCATTGGTCTATGTCTTTTCTATTGCTCAACATATCTTGTTGTTTTCTATGAAACTTATGCCTTTTTAGCTCTTTAATATTACAACTTAAAAGCCTATTTTCCTAGTCAAAAATTTCTTGTCAACAAATTGCCCTTCAAAATGCCATGTTCGACGGTGCCTTGTCGATGGGAGAAGTGTGGAGTTTTCTCTTATACATTTTCGACTGCATGCCTCTTTGGGATGACGTCATGCGTAATTATGACTATTTTCTGCATAACAGTTACCCATGTTACTTCCATCACTCTTCATGATTACTCCTAGGTTTTAGGGTGTGGGTTTTTGAACAAACTCCAAAAACTTTCCCAATCCTTAGTTTCGTTATCATTGGATTAGTTCTGCTTGTCAATGATCAACGAGCTTGAATTTTCTTTAAATACCTCTTTTAGGCTTCCACCATTCCTTCTTCCGTTTTCATCTTATCTTCCAAACTCACATACCCTTTTGTTTTCTGCAACTTTTTTACAACACAACTGAATGTTTCCCTACCATCTTGACTTTAATGGTTGCTTCTAGTTCTGTTTCTTCCGCCACTGGTGCAAACCCATAACCTTCATCATATCAAACAACACCAACTTACCAGTTATTCCTCAACCAACTTCCACTGATACACGTACCACTGAAGCTTGGAAGAAACAAATGCTCATCCCATTTGTTGTTTCTGAAGATCTTTATGCGTTTCATGGGCCGTATCAAACCTAAAGAATAATCCCAAAAAGGTTTAAGGATTTTTTCCTTGCTATACTCCTGCAAAACCCCCTGTGTTTTCTCAGGATTTTATGCTTGATGTCAAGTTTGTGGACTCCTCTACTAGGCCTTTTCGCTCCACTCCTACTCCTAGGAATTTAACCTATTTGGCATGGCTCGACAAGTTCCAAGTTAAGAATAAGTCTTTTTAGGAAGCATCAGGTATTTTCGACGCGATCCAGCTGTTAAGAAATGCTCATAAAATCAACCATTGCATGATTACAGCGTCAATCTTCTTTTGGGAAGGTTCGACCAACACTTTTCAATTCCCCTACGGGATGTTAATGCCTACCCTCTTGGACGTAGCCGTTATTACTGGCTTGTCTCCCTTGGGTGAAGTTTTCGATCCTACTTTATCAATAAAGCTTAAATTTTGCTTCGAAAAAGCCAGCCTTACACATTATATTGAAGACCATCACGATACTCAAAGCGAAGATATTTCTGACGAAGAACACATTACTTTTCTCACTCGTTGGCTTTCATACTATTTATTCTTCCATGGGTCTCTACAAGTGGCAAAAGGTTTCGTCCCTCTGGCCATTCAACTCCACGAGGGTCGACAAATTTCTTTAGCTAAGCTTCTGCTGGCCTATCTTTACCATACTCTTGGTGTTGCTTCATCCAGACTCAAATTTCTTTCTGAAAATCCTAAGAGACCAGCTCTCTCAGGACCATTTTGGCTTTTGCAACATTGGTTGAATGCTACTTTTGTGCATCGACTGGCCTCTCATCTATTAGAGGCTACTGAACGCTCCTTGTCAACCAAACCCACTGAGGGATTAAGGTTGTCCCTGCTTACTCCTCAAGAAACTTCTACTAGGTATTGTTTTTATGAAGTATATTAATTTATTCATATAAACTACTACCTTTATTGAGGATATGGCTCCCTTTGTGAGGATAAATATTGGCTCTACTTGGTTTAAGGATCCTTTTCCTGGAGTAAGTCCTAAAGCGACTGCTAAATCAAATGTTATATGAAGAGTATTCTTAACCCCCACTTTCTTATCCTTTCACATTAACATTGGGTCCAAAGGATATGGCCTTGTGACGTATCAACCGCACATGTTTTCCCGATAGTTTGGTCTTAGCCAAATGATGCAAACATCTCTAATCTCCCATCCTAAAGATATCATTTGTTCAAGTTTAAACCTTCCTTCTTTTTCACCAAAGAGTTCGTTAATTGGTTGTCTCAGTATCAGACAAAATATTTTTCTTCTACTGCCTTCTTATAGAATTTAATGGATGCCATCGAGGCGTGGGAAGCCGGTCGACCCTCTGTCAACCTCATTCTAGAGGTTCTTCTTGTTGATTAGCGAAAAAATCCTAATGTTGAAGCTCAAACTACTAAGGTACCCTCTCTTTCTTCCAATTTTTGATCACCTTCATAAGATCTTTGTGACTTTATTCCATTGTTTAAAAGGGTGAAAACGTTCTTCAACTGCAAAAAATGTTACTGACTCGCCCCCCCAAAAAAGCTAAAGTTTCGAATACCCAAGTACATATATGCATTCTTTCATAAGTTCTTTCATACCTTTGTCTATTAACACTTGAAACCTTTTTTGCACTATTAGGCTCTTGAAAGGAAGCCACAACCTTCTATTGCTTCAAACATTTCCGACCATAGCGATGGTTCCCACATTTTTTCTTCATACAAAGTTTTGACTCCAACCAAGCCTAGAGGGCCTAAAAAACTCAAAAGAATTGTCCTCAAAACCAATACTTTAAAAACCAAGCCTGCTGATGCTGATGCCCCGCCTTCTCCTACTCATGATCAAGAGGAGACTTCACTTCCTCAACAACCAACTCCAATAATCTCAATTCAAGAAGAACAAT